GCAGCCTCCGTGGAACAGAGAGGCTTCCAACTAAAGGGTCATTGGTGACTACATAAGAGTAGTTGAGGGACCCCTGTGTGGCTTAGTTGGTTGACTGTGCAACTCTTGGTTTTGGGTCAGGTCATGATCCCAAGATTGTGAGATCAAGCCCCGCAGCAGGCTCCTCACTCAGTTCAGAATCTGCTTGAGATTCTCTCTCCCTCTGCCTCCCCACTAGCTTATGTGTGCCCTTTCTCTCCCAAATAAATAAATCTTAAAAAAAAAAAAAAAGTAGTTGAAGCACTGAGTATGAGCAGGAAGTTCAAACTGGAAAGTGCAGACAGGTACAACTAGTCCAGATGAGGGGAGCTGGCTGTGGTCAGGCCACACACAGCATTGTGGAGGTTTGGCTTTGAATAGGGAGAGGGTCTCCTCTTTCCACAGTTAAGGATATATGTGTGAATCTGATGGAGGGACATCCCGGAGGGTTGCTCCCAGGGACCTCAGTTTCCTCGGTAGCACAGAGTAATGAAGTTCACATGGCAGGAAAGATATGATTCAAGCTGTCTGAGTTGAATCTTGAAATAGAGAAGCAGCTGAGCAGAAAAATTCCCAGAACTTTGGGGAGATCCTTGATATGATTAAAAATCTTGTGTTTTTGTGGTACATAGTTCTCAATAGCATCCTTCTTAGACCTCTGAGTTCCCCCAGGTTCTTTCAGGGTGTCTATAGGGTTAAAACTATGTTCATAGTTTTAAGGTATTCTCACACTTTCTCTGTGCTGCCATCTGCACTCTTGGTGCAGAAGCAGTGGTGAACATGACTGCCAGCACCTCGACCCAGGACAAGGCAGTGGCAGTACCCTGTCCTCATAGCTAAAAAACAGTGCCAGCTGCACATAAGAATGTCCCTGAAAAGTCCTTACTTTATTAAATCCCACCCTTCTCATATGTCTTTTGCACATTCTGTGTGACAAAACGAGAGCATGAACACATACTGAATGCAGGGGAGTGCTTACAGAGGTTGGACTATGTCTGAATTAACTGGTTTTTAAGATTAATCATCAACAGGTTTTAAGAGTAGGGTTCTAAGATCAGGAAGCTTGAGAAGCATTGTTGCAGTGACACAGTTTGAACAGCTAGGTCTTTTTCTCTGGCCCTGCTCAGAAATTCAGGTTGAGGATGGGAGTGACAGGTTGAAGCCTTGATCTCTGAGGAGAGTTTTGCTGGATAGGTGAGATGGACCCGCTGTGGTGATATGGAGAGCCAATCCTATGGCTCACCCTAGAGTCTGGGCTAAGATGGGAAGAAAAAATAGCTGATGGATCAGAAGGGCAGGGTCTTGTTGCTTTGTACCCACTGAAGTAAAAGAGAAGGTGTGGGGTTCTAGGATGATATCAAGGAGAGTCCGGGATTGTGGTTAGATGTAATCCCAGCCTCAAAGGGACTTCCAGTCCTTTAGGGGAAATAAAGCCTGTATCCAAGGAAACATACGCACAGGCAGAGTGATTCATGCCATCTGAGTGATGCCAGTGGATTGCTGTGTGGCGTGGGAGGAGGGAGGCCAGGCACTCTGACTGTGAGATCAGCACCTGCCAGCTGCTTCCCGTTTCTCTCCTTTTCCCCTTCTGTAGCTGTGAATAACGCAGAAATAGCACTAGCAATAAAAGGAAGCTAGAGATCCAGTTATTTTTCAAGCAGAAAAAAAAAAACTATCTTCCTTTGCAATTTTTGCCTCTATGTTTAAGGGCCTAGAATTTAACTTGAAGGAACTAAAAGGTCTATTTTAAAGCTGTTTAAGCTACCAAATACCAGCTGCTTTGAAGTGCTTCCCAACTTAGTACCAACAAGATTCAGAGGGGAAAAGTATCCCCCAACAGCTTAGAAACAATGAAGTTACAATCTATGGCCAAACTCTCCTGGATTTTTCCTGACAGAGGGTATCTAATTGGACAAAAGGCCAAATAGCTTCTAGTCTCAAGAAAGTTTTTGAGGAGTGTCTGAATAGTTGAGTTGGTTTAGTGTCCGACTCTTTAGGCTCAAGTCATGATCTCAGGGTTGTGAGATTGAGTCCCATATCAGGCTCTATGCTCAGTGTGGAGTCTACTTGGGATTCTCTCCCTCTACTCCATGCACTCACACATGCTTTCTCAAATTATAATAAATAAAAATCTTAAAAAAAAGTTTGGGGAATGTCTGTGAGTTCTTTTATGGAGAGAGGAGAACAGGGGTAGGTTTATTACCTGTGTTACAGGTAATATTATCTGTGTTACAGATAGTAAGACTGATGCCCAGCAACTGGTATGTCATGTGTTCACACATCTGCCAGGGATTCTATGAAACTTAGATTGGGGCAGAGGCACCTAAGTTCATCATTGTACTGCATTGTCCAGACTCTTGAGAGAGCTGCCTCTGAAACCTAGCCTGTTCATGGGCCCCTGAGACCCCATGTCCTGGCTGCAGGGATAAATACCTTTCCTGCCCAAGACACTCCTTTAGTCAGCACTCTAGATTCCTAAGAGCTTCCTTCCTCTCCTGAAAAGTCCTCATAAAGCCTATAAAGCAAAGTGTCACTGTTCCCGAATTTCCTACAGTACATTCATGTGTATTGAAGAGATTATAGTTAGAGGCAAAAATAAAAAATGTACTATTTGTAGAAATGCATTATGTAAAAAACTTTTTTACAGTTTGTCTTGTGGACATGAGAAAAGTTCTGTGTTGTGTGGAATTTCTCATGACATCCAGCGTGTGGTTTACCACATAGATTATCTCACAGTTGTCTTGAAGATTAAGGATGAGTGACGTGCAATAAGGGGAGTCACAGATGGGAGCCAGAGCGGAGTATCCACACTGAGGCATGCTCACACACGTGCACACATGTCCTCTCACGCCTCTGCTTTCAGTCACCTCAGGCAGTAAATTGCTGCTTTGAACTCTCCTGAGATTGACTTCCAGGCACACAAGTGGTCAGTCACTTAAGATTCTGACTGTATACTGGCCTGCTGCTCTCACGGGTTGAACACAGCTTTTAGTGAATAAATGATTAAAATGATTTTCCTTTACCATTTTACTCTCAGGACCAGTGATACGTGCTAATTTGCAGATGAATGAGGTTGACAACCTCATAAGTTATCACTGATAAACAAGGCTTCATTGAGTAGATGGCAGTGTTTTCATTTTTTGTTTTATTTTATTTTTTAAAGATTTTATTTATTCATGATAGAGAGAAAGAGGCAGAGACACAGGCAGAGGGAGAAGCAGGCTCCACGCAGGGAGCCCCACGTGGGACTCGATCCCGGGACTCCAGGATCGCGCCCTGGACCAAAGGCAGGCGCCAGACCACTGAGCTACCCAGGGATCCCCCGGTTTTATTTTATTGATCACCATTCTGTTTTTGTTTTTTTAAAGTATTCCCTTTTTTTTTTTAACTTTATTTATTTATTCATGAGAGAGGCAGAGAGACAGGCAGAGGGAGAAGCAGGCTCCGTGCAGGGAACCCAACATGGGACTCGATCCTGGGTCTCCAGGATCACACCCTGGGCCGAAGGCAGGTGCTAAACCACTGAGCCACCCAGGGATCCCCTTGATCACTGTTCTTTAAAAAAGAATGTTCTTTTTATTCCCTAGTAGTTTTTCAGACTTGGAATGGATTATCAGACTTGTTTCTTGGAATCCTTGGATTTTTTAGGGGTGCCTCAGAGCTGTGAGCTAGGACTTGAGAAAGATGGATAGCTCCTTACTCCGTCGATAGCCTTGAATTTGAGAAAAGGACCTGCTACATGAATTGGAAACACTGTTCTAAGCATTGTCAAGTAAAAGCAGACACTTTTTAATTTTTTATTTTTTATTTTTTATTTTTATTTATGATAGTCACAGAGAGAGAGAGGCAGAGACACAGGCAGAGGGAAAAGCAGGCTCCATGCACCGGAAGCCCGATGTGGGATTCGATCCCGGGTCTCCAGGATCGCGCCCTGGGCCAAAGGCAGGTGCCAAACCGCTGCGCCATCCCCCAGACACTTTTTTTAAAAGCTCCCTTTGCTGCTTCTTTACCAGAGCGATAATGTCTTTTCTAGCATGTATTCTTTCTCATTGAAATCTGCGCCTGAAACTAAATGCAGGAAGTGTTCGGTCACGTTTCCCTTAACCCGTGTTCCAGCCACTGTCAGCCATGACCTTTGGCTTTTCTCATGGCTTGAAGTAGTGCCTGGACACTAGCTATGGAGGCCACCAGGGTGAGCTAATCATTAGCTATCCCTCCTTCTTGATCTGGTTGATGCTACACTTGCTTCCTATTCCTGTACTCTCTACACAGAAATATTCAGCTGCTCACTACTGACCAGATCAAGAGAATACTTAGGGGGTGCCTGGCTGGCTCAGTCAGAAGAACATGTGACTGATGTAGAGGTCATGGGTTTGAGCCCCATGTTGGGTGTAGGGATTACTTAATTAATAAACTTTAAAAAAAAAAAAAAAGAGCATTCTTTTGTTTTGGGCCTTGGAGAAAGATGCCAAGCTGCAGAGTGGGCCAGGGGGCCTGTGCTTCCCACATGGATCTCAGCCAGGACCTGGAAACCACACAGGAGGACAAGTGACCATTGTCTTCTGTGACCTTAGAGGCCTTCTTTATATGTTGAAAGATAAACTGACCATTGCAGAGAGGACTTTGGATTTCAGAGAAATACATATATAACACTTTACCTTCAGATGCCTGCAAAACAGAAGAATGATTTAGGGAAAAAAATCCAGATTTTGTAGGAAGAGTTGGGTTTGAACCCTAGGCTTCCACTTTCAGCCTTTGGCTGATCACATCACCTTTCTGAGTCTAGGTCTGCAATTGTTAGATTAGCCACAGTCTTGAGAAGCTCAGAGAGGTAATAGGCACCCAGTGTGCTGCTGGCTCTTCTCCCCATAGTGATGCTTAGTTCCATTGTTTCATGGGTCAATTTTCTTAAACAGGAAATGGAAAGTAGTCGGTAAATGTTCCTTTGGCTTCTCACCACTACAAAACCTTTCTCTTTGTAGCTCTGGATTTACTGGACAAAATGTTGACATTCAACCCTCACAAGAGGATTGAAGTAGAACAGGCTCTGGCCCATCCGTATCTGGAACAGTATTATGACCCAAGTGATGAGGTAAGACCTATACCCTGGCTGCTGCTTCAGGAATATCTATCAGGCAGCAGTAGGCCCAACCAGGAAGGGCCCAGATGTCATGTTAGATTGGTTCTGAGAAGTGTATGGTGCCACACCTGGTCCTCTCAGCCTGCATTGTCTGCCTGAGGACTAGTACTGTCAGCACAGCTTGAAACCTCTCCCTATCCCACCCCCCAAACCCCTTCTGTCTCAGAAAGCTTCCTCCAGAGCACCTGCAGCAGAGGTGGGACTGGGGAAATAGATGAATAAAGGGGAGCACGAATAAACAAGCAGTCCAAGGCTAGAGAATGTGGTCATGGTCTGTGGCAGGAGGAGCTACCTCAATCACAGTGCCTGTCTGAGGGTGGAAAGGAGGCCAACTGCCTGCTTGGAGAGGGGCATTGCAAGGGGGGCGGTCGGACGTCGTGCCTGGTATGCCTCCTTAGGTATGGGGATACTAGAGCCTCTTGTGGTGAGAAATGTGTCCAGAGGTGGATGTGGCAGGCCTCCAAAGCCAGGTAAAGACCCTGTGTGTCATGTTTATCTCTAAGAAAGTCCCAGTTCCTTAGCCTCTTGGATTCTTCTGGGGCTTTATTCTCTGGATGGTAATGAAGAAAAATGTAGTATGAACCAAAGTTTGGATCTTTCTAGTGGAGGCTCATGCAGAGACAGTACGCTTTCATAAGGGAACCAAGCAGAGAGTGTTAAAAGGAAAAATGGAAGAGGAAAAGAAAAAGATAAAAAGTTAAAAACTGATAAATGAAAGAGAAAGAAGAAATCAAAAAGAGGAAGTATTTCCTAATTAGCCCCCTTCCATCTCTGTCCCCTACCCTCAGAAATAATGGAGGCAGCTTGCAAAGATACCTACAACATAATAAATAATAGGGAAGGAGGGGAGAGTGTAAAGTTTGGAGCTCTAACCAGCCCTATGAGCCCCCCGTGTCCTAATCACAAGCCTAGGTGGTACTCCAAATCCAGTTAGCGGGTGGGAGGACCAGAAAGATGGCATATGTGGCACACCATTGTGACCTCACACATATAGCTGCCCTTCAAAGAGGGCTAACTACTTGTTTTTCTCTTGTGGACATGAATCCTTTTCCCCCTTTCAAGAAACCAATGCTTAGTTCAGAGTTGGTGTCCATGTTTCCTTACCCTGAAGGCCTGGTGTGAGGATTACATGGATAAAATCTAGGAGTGCCTGATAACTAGGCATCCACTGATTGATAGCTGGAATCCTCATCAGATTAGTTCTAGCACATTGTGTTAGTTTGGAGGTACTTAAAAATCAAAATATAAATAATATCAATTGACTGATTTTCTTTTTCACCATTGTATATATGGAAATTCTTTGACATAGTCATTTGAAATATGTACTTAAATAGCCTTCTGATTAGTCATAGGGTGTGCTGAATAGTAAAAATGAAAACTTGCAGAAAACTATGACAGATCATTTTGTAGTCTTGTTACACAGATATTAAGATTTTGGAGTATTTTCTTCTCAGTCTTATATTTCTGTATCTAAATTTTTTTTAAAAACAGGGTTCATTTTGTTTAACACAAACATGCACATTTCCCCATAATATTAATCTTTCTTACGGCTTCATTTTTAATGACTCCATAATAATTTTTCATGTGAAGATAGTATAATGTATTTAATCAAGTATTTGATTTTGAGTATCATGGCTTTTGATTGTGTAAACCTATCCCCACAACAGCAAATTTCTGTTAACTTCAACACTTAGTGCCTTAAAAATTTGAAAATGATTTTGGGATTAGTGGTAAATTCAGAAGAGTGGTCAAAATAGATTTAGTTGCTCCCCGTCCATTTACTGTATGTTCACAGAAGATGTGCGTTTTGGATCACGTAGATGGAATACGGGTACATAGATACTTCTCAGAGCTTTTGGGATTCCAAAGATGTCAGTGCTACTATATACATTTCAGAGTTGAATCCACATACATTATGAATCAGTACATGACTACCTCAACCACAATCACTCTTGTCTACTCCATGTTCTATGCTCTCCTACAGCCCATCGCTGAGGCGCCATTCAAGTTTGACATGGAGCTGGATGACCTGCCCAAGGAAAAGCTCAAGGAGCTCATCTTCGAAGAGACAGCTAGATTCCAGCCGGGATACAGATCTTAAATTTATCAGGTACCTAGAGTTTTAGTCGCACAACAAACCCTGGTGAGGGAGAGAGAATATAAATTAAATGTTATTAAAAAGAAAGGGGAAGCCTGGGTTGCTCAGTGGTTGAGTGTCTGCCTTTGGCTCAGGACGTGATCCCAGGGTTCCGGGGTCAAGTCCTCCATTGGGCTCCCCACGAGAAGCCTGCTTTTCCCTCTGCCTATGTCTCTGCCTCTCTCTCTCTCTCTCTCTCTCTCTCTCTCTCTCTGTCTCTCTCTCTCTCTCTTTTCTCTCTCACATAAATAAATAAATTAATTAAATTAAAAAAAATTTCCTTGAGTTCCACATGGAAGTTTCCTTTGCTTAAGTTTGAAAGGGTGGTGAGCAATGTTGTGGTATCAGTAAGATTTCAAAAAATTGTGTTCAAGAAAAAGGAAATGCAGATCTTGATTTTAGAGAACATAGGGAAAGAGGAGAGAGAATAGTGTGGGAACTTGGGAGTGAGAATTGTGTTCAACTCTGTAGAAATGAGCAGTGAAGTTGAGAATCACAAGCAAGGGCCAAAGCATTTGCTGGAGAAATGCTTTGACATACCAGCCTCAGGGGCTGGAGCAGTGTTGTGTGCAGCGTGCCCACAAGTATCCATGGAGCTGCTGCGCTTGCCTTGGAACTGGAGGCTCCCTGACAGCAGAAAGAGGGGAATGGGTTCTGTGGCAGTATGCATTTAATACAACCATATCTCTGCTCCCCTCTTCCCTGTTTTGTCCATTGCATTTTCATATCATGGTTCAGGCTGAGGGCAGTACTGAGGCTCCAAGTAGAAACTGCTTGGGGTTTCACTCAGAGGACATACAAATGGTCAGAGGGCATTAGATGTAACCACAGGAAGCTGTTCCTAGCCTCCAGCTAAAGGAACAAAAGTCAAACTGTTTTCCAGGGTCCTTGATCATCACACAGCCAGGGTGCTGGGCAGCTGCTGTAACTGCAGCTGTTAGATTATCACCATTGCTGAAAAGGGGTCAAGAGCCTGTGCTGCCACTGATGTGGGGGATCTCTGGAGCCTAAAGCCATCATTACCATCCTTTCTCCTAAAACCAGGAGTCTCCCTCCTAAATAACCATGTATCAGTAAGAAGCAGAGAAAAGGAAACCTGTTTTTTCCTATATGTGCCGGCCATTGGCAGAACCTCTCAGAAGCCAATCACCAATGAAGTCCAACAGTGCAGTGACAAGCTCCCAGCACTGTCATTAAGGACAGAGGACAGGGGAAAACTAGAAAGGATATCTGAGAACAGACATGGCCAGCTCAGCTTCAGAGAGCTGTGGAAGCCAGGCAGAGTAAGGCTGGGTTATTAACTGGTAGAGAGTACCACTACCAGTTAGTGGTACTAACTAGTTAGAGTACTGCTACTCTACTAATGGGACAGAAAATGGAATTTTCAGAAGTCTGGTATCCAAGTATGGAGGGTTGGAGGAGAAGACTGGATGGGAGATGAGCTCAAAATGAATCTTCCAGACCAGAGGGCTAGAGGCTAGGGTAAGGGCTGTGGAGGTGAGAACCATTGTGTTCAGGAGAGTGGAGGGAACACAAAGTCTGAAAGACTCCAAATTTCCTAACCCTAGCACCTGGGGGCCAGGGGATCTTAGCCTGACACTGGACATGTCCTAAAAGACAAAGCACGTAGTGTGGAAGAAGTGTAGGCTTACAGGACATTAGGAGAATACTGATAAACAAGCCTTTGGGGAAGTGTCTGAATGAGAGACAGAAGGTGTTAGGAGGCTGAGTAGGACAGAGTCTAGCAAGGCTGGGATTCATTTATCCTTTCATACCTCTTGGTGTGATAGTCTATTAAAGTATTTGTTATGTACAGTGATCTGCAAGATGATTTACTGACAGGTCAGACCCCAGGACCCAACCATTTTCACTCCTTAAATTGAGTCTCCTTGGGTTCTCCTTTCTGGTCCCTCTGCTTGGTGCTCACAGTGGAAGGGGTCCTCTCTCTCCCTTCCTGTGTCTGCAGGAGGTCAGATCAGCTGCCTGCGGTTTTGTAGATAAAGTTTAATCTGGCCCTTTATGAGAACAGGTTTGCTGATCCCTGGCCTAGAATAGTGGGCTGAACTACTTTGGTTGCTTTTCTTCTTCACAATCCCTTTAGCAGCTCATTTTCCTGAAGTCTGTTAGTGGATTTTGTTTTTCCCCATCTTTTTCTTGTCGAACTGACACATACTGCATGCCTCCTCTGTGATAAGCACATGTTAGACTGCTAAGTGAGCAGAGCAAACAACTCTGAAACTGGCCTCAAAGGAGCATACGGTCTAGTAGAGTACAAAGACAGGCGGAACTGCCATGCACAGTTTTCGTGTAAAAGAGTGTGCCAGGAAGGGAGCATTCTGCTGTCTGGGGAGGTGCTTGGCAGTGCGGGGCCAGGGAGTCAGGTCCGAGTGGGAGGTTGAAGTCCAGGCTTATCAAGGAGCCCCGCCTCTTCCTCCCAGGCATCTTCCAGTCCTGAAGCACCAGAGTACGTGATGCTAGGGCAGTAAGAATGTTGGGCAACCTCAGGGAACAGGCACCCTTGGGATCACTGGCAAGGCTACTGGAGGAGAAGGGCAGTGCAGCAGCCACAGAGGAACAAGACAAAGGCGAGCATGCTCCTGGGGATCCAGGGCGCAACTCCTGGGGCCTGACATCTGAAGTCTGAGTTAGCAGACAGAGGTCAAGGCTGCTGCCAGAGTCCACCCTAGTTCTCAGAGTCTGGGACCGTGGCTTGTTACCATGGACAGGGGTGGCAAAGACCCTCACTCTCTGTTTAGTTCACTTTCTCCATGGGGGCAAAAGGCACAGTATGTGCTTATAGCCTTTTTTCCCCAACTTTCTGTTACTGAATTATAATTGATACATAATACTAGCTTCAGGTGTACAGCATAATGATTTGATTTTTATACATCACAAAATAATCACCTTAATAGATCTAGTTCCTTCCAGTGGTTTTTTTCAATTTTCAGCTATTCTGAAGAGTTGAGTTTTACAATAAAAACCCACATTCCGCCATCTATATTACGTAATTAACATTTTGCTATACATGCTTTCTCACATATCTGTCCATCTGTTCCTCCATCTACCTGTCAATCTATCTTACTACTTTAGTGTGCATTTCAAAGGAGGCTGCCAACATCTAGACCAGCTTATAAATTTAGTCATCTAGAATATAAAAGTTGAATCCATGGGAAGGTGGGGGCTGGGGGCATTTGCTAAATTCTGGGCCAGGTTCTTTCACAAACATTTCATTTTGATGCTCACAGCAACATTGTCTGAAGTCAGCACACAGCCCATGTTTATGATTGAGGAAACTGAAGATTGCCTGTGTTTAGGCATTATGCTGGTGGCAAAGTTAGACAGGTCTGGACCCAGAATCCCATTTTCTTACAAGTTCTGTAGACTGCCTTGGAGTAGTTCTGTGCTCTGGAAAGGGTCGAGGAACTCTTTCACAATACCATGCAGCAGTGTTACTGAGTTCCCAGCCTACAACAGTAAGATTAGAAGTTACAAACTGGAGAGTCAGGTAGATACAGGTGCTAGAACATACAGGGACGTTAGAGGAAGGTGATGTTGACTGTCCAGCTACATAGGAAAGAACTGGAAAACATACACACACGGGACCTCAGAGCACAGCCATGGGGACCCCTTTGTGGGGGCGGGGGATGGCAGATACTCCAGAAGAAGCTCCAGGTGTCCTCTGCTTACCTCATCACAGGCTTTACTGATGCCCTTAGTGGTCTTAAAAGATCAGAGTATATTCATTATATTTTATTTAAGTGGGTCAGGTCACTGACCAGATTCAGATTATCCACTGAAAAGTCTAAGAATGTGTTCATGGTTAACTTTTTGACAAGCCTCATGTTGTAAGAGGCTGGTGAAGGTGAAGGTAGGCTCCTGACTCCCTTCCTCATCTGCCTGTTGGTGAGTTTTCTCAAATGGATTAATTTCTCCCCGCCAGTATGTTTGGCTGCAGTTCAGAACAGTGGGACCTAGAAGGAGATAATTTCCCATCTCTGAGTCTATCTCCTTGCCACAGAATTGGGATATAATATCCATCCTTCCTGCCCTGACTCTTGAGTGGTAGATGAAAGCCATCTTGCCTGAAAGTGTATTGTGAAATACCAAAGTGACATTCTGCTAGATCGTACTAGCAAACATTTCATAGCAATAAGGGTCTTTCCAGGTGCCAGCATGGCTCATTCAGTTAAGCATCAAGATCCCAGCATCCTGGGATTAAGCCCCACATCTGTGCTCCCTGCTTATGGTGCAGTCTGCTTCTCCCTCTGCCCCTCCCCCTGCTTGTGCTCTCTCTTATGCTCTCTTGTTCTCTCTCACTCTGTACTCTCTCAAATAAATAAAATATTTAAAAAAACACAAGTCTCTCCAGAGAGAATATTTATTTTGTTTGCATTTTGACACATTTAGTTGCCCTCCCAGCCATCTCAAGCAGGTTTCCTCATCAGAATCAAGAACACAACATGATTGGAGTGGCAATGTTTCACTTCTCCCTAGGATGATACAAAACTAATAGAGATCTAGGGATGAGCTTAATTCATTATATATGGATGCCCTAGGCAGTGGTTCTCAAAAGTGTGGTCCATCTGTGCCCTACCCCCTAATAATCTGTGTTTTAACAAGCTCTGCAGAGCATTCTGATGCTCACCCTTGAGAACTACTAGCCTATAAAGAGAATAGATTTGATTTGTACTGGGGATCTCTTGCAGGTGGCCCATATGCAGACATCTGGAGAGCCAGGTGGGCCCTGTCAAGTGTAGTAAATGAACGAAGGGTATCTTCGGGGTGCCACCTGCTTTCAAGGTGCTGTCCTGGAGGCCCGGTGGGGAAATAGCTGTCAGATCACCTCTGACCTGAGCCATCAGAACCATCTCCTGCTCGTGGGAACCCTGCCATGGTCCCCTACCTCACCAGAATCCAGGCCCACCAACTTCACACTTCAGCCAGTGCTTCAGTTTGCTTGTCTTGGTTTGTTGCAGTTACAGGAAACTTGAGTGTTACAACAACATGCTTGGCGCTCTGTGGTTGATTCTGTCCTGACTGGACTTCCAGAGAGAAAAAGAGGCTTGGTAAGAATAGGAGGCAGTATAAGTGCCTGGATGGCTCAGTCAGTGAAGCATGTGACTCTTGATGTCAGGGTTCTGAGTTTGACCCCACAGTGGGTGTAGAGATTACTTTAAAAAAAAAAAAAAAAAAGGAGGTGGCAGAGCAAACAAATGTTTTACATAAATGTGTTTCCTTTCCTTTTCCTTCCCCTTCCCTTTCCCTTTTCCCTTCCCTTCTTTTCTTTGGAGGGGGAGGAGGAGAAAAAGAATCTTAAACAAGCTCTGTGCCCAGTGTGGAGCCCAATGTGGGGCTTGATCTTACAACCCTTGAGATCATGGCCTGACCTGAACTCAGGAGTTGGACATTTAACCAACTGAGCCACCCAGGTGCCCCGAGTGTGTGTGTGTTAAAGCTTTATTTGAGAGAGAGTACCAGCAGGGGGAGTGGTAGAAGGAGAGAGAGAGAGAGAGAGAGAGAGAGAGAGAAGCAGACTCCCCGCTGAGCCAGGGAGCTGGACATGGAGCTGCATACCAGGACCCTGAGATCATGACCTGAGCCAAAGGCAGGCAACTGACTGAGCCACCTAAGCACCCCACCAAATGTATGTTCTTTACAAAGACCTTCAGATTCTGGTTTTGATCATTGGAGTGGCGGGTACAGTAGTTAATAAAAGGCATCTTGAGAACACTGAAGTCCCCCAAGCTATGAGTGCACGCACATGTGTTCCTTGTGGGTGTAGCAAGAACCTCCTCTGAGTTGTCCGAGAAGAGGTGCCTATAGACCAGAGGCAGAGCCCACCCCTTCAGAGCTACCTTGTGATGTGTAGGCCTGAGTGGTTCCAGGTAAAATGACCTTTTTGCAGGAGTGGCTTTTCTCTTACTCTATTCTTTTTCCCCACTTTCCAGTTTCTATCATGTTGGTTCATTCTTTTCACTTCTCCATTTTCCTAATGCTGCTGCTAATGTTTTAACGTAGGTCCTTTTTTAAAAAAAATTTTTTTAAAGATTTTTAAAATTTATTCATGAGACACAGAGGCAGAAACAGGGAGAAGCAGACTCCCCACAGGGAACCCGATGTCAGCCTCGATGCGGGACTCGATCCCAGGACCCTGGGACCACGACCTGACCCAAAGACAGATGTTTAACCACTGAGCCACCCAGGCACCCCAGCGTGGGTCTTTTTTAACTCATAGGTGTGTTTGGTTTGTTTGTTTGTTTGTGTTTTTCAATAGGACAAGGGCTCAGAGGACTGGACGTGCTCAGACATCGGTGTTGTTCTTCCCAGTTCTTGACCCCGGTCCTGTCTCCAGCCTGTCTCGGCTTAATCCACCTTGACTCCTTTGAGCCGTTCGGAGGGGCGGTTTCTGGTAGTTGTGGCTTTTATGCTTTCAAAGAATTCCTTCAGTCCAGAGAACTGTTCCTGGCATCCCTGTGTGTGTCACCCACCGGTGACCTGTGGCAGTATGTACTTTCAGTGCACCTACTGCTTACCGTTGCTTTAGTCACTAATCGCTTTCTGGTTTGAAAGATGCAGTGGTTCCTCCCTCTCCTGAATCCTCCCTATGTACCGCCCTACTGACCCATGCAGTCACACCAGAGATAGTTCTTTCCAGATTGGCTCTCGTCACTGGCCTCTCACTTTATGATACGGAAGGCTACTACCTAGGGCACTTTAAGTCAGTGACAGCCCCTTATTTGCACATCACCTTTTCACCATCAGCGTTTCCCCGGAGCAGGAGTGTGTGGAAACAACTGGGATGTCGTTGCAGCCTGCGGCAAGTGCTCCCATCTCGGGAGCCTTTAGGGGCACTTGCCCGTGTCTTTTCTCATATCATGTTAGTCACTAACATATTTAAGGTTTGTGCTGTTTGCCCAGCTTTTAGAATACTCAACCATTTTTCTAAATAAAAGAAGTACTGCATCCAGCAACTTCACTCTGTAGATTTATGTGGTTTCTTACACCATTTATTGAGGTATAACACTTGCCCAGATGTGTCATCTGCAGTACTGTTTGCAAGGCTTACACAAAAAGATTTAAAGTGACAGCTGCACTCAGGATTTAGTGAGAGATGTACACAGGTCACAACAGGGTGCTAAAGAAAGTGTCTGGAGAAGCAGCCAGCAGGCCACCCAGCTGTCATGGGGCAGAGCTGCACACACAGGTGTACGTATATCCCTGAGCTACTTCACATGGTGTGCCACGTTCAGTGTAACCACATTCAATGCCTCAGGATTTAGCAGAGAGGAGCCCTGCGTCTTTAAATGAGAAAGTGTACAATTCTTTTTCCTCCTACAGCATGTCAGCATCTCAAGTTCATTTTTCAACCTACGATATAACAATTTGTAATAAAGCCTTCATGAGCTCATGGCGTGAAGCACTGTTCTGTCGTCAAGTACTCTCAAATGTTTCTGATACTGCTGAGCTAAGACCATGAGAAAAAGCTAGCACTAAGTCATATTTGGAGCTCTATCCCATATTCTCCTGATCTCTTTAAGTATTTGTTCCTGCCACAGTACACTGTGGCATTGACTTGGTGTTCTGTCCCAGTGCGGTGCCTCCTCTTGACTCCCCCACTGCTCTCTGTGGTGAGAAATTTGCCTTGTTCAATAATTACTGTACCCTCGCATGACTGTTACAGCTTTCTGTGCAGAGATGACTGTCCAAGTGCCACATGCCTATGATTGAAACGAAAAATTTATTGTTACCTCTGAGTTTGTGTTCCACGGAAATGCTATCCAGCAGATCACTTAGGAAAAATAATTCTATTTTTAGCTTTTCATTTCTCAGCTGTCCTTTTTTTCTTGTTTGATTTTTGACAGCAATGGAGAATGGGTTATATAAAGACTGCCTGCTAATATGAACAGAAATGCACTTGTAATTCATGAAAATAAATGTACATCTTCGATCTTCATATTCATTTTAAGATTCAGTGTCAATTTCCTCTGGATCAGCGTGTCCAAATGGACAGTCAGCTTCAGTTGTGCTTGGAGCAGAAATGCTTACGGGCCTCCCCTTCCCGCCCGGGCACTGCCCCAACACTGGTTTACACAAGATGATTTAGAAGGCATTTCTGTAGGGTCCTAGTTTCCTAGGATCAACTCTGACATGTTCTTTTACTCAAACCATAGGTCTAAAATACTATGTCAAACTCTGATGAAGAGCCCAAACGTCTCAGGTTGGATTCTCTGGTTCTTTCTAAAGAGGGCCTGCCTATGTGCCCCAGAACTGCTCCTGGGCATGGCGGGGTGCTGGGAAGGGCTGCCCACTTGGCCCATACCACCTGGGTCAGGGAGTGGATGCTCACACCTCATGGGCTAACGATGGACAGCTGACTCAGCCTCAGAGATCGGAACCACATCTAGATTCTTGCCCTAAAATACGTGATTCATCTCCATGCTCAGAGCTGCCAGGCCAAGGTCTGTACAGCATTGACAGGATAGAAGTTTGATTGTTACTTAATAACATTGGTGAGTCAGTTTTCATTTTCGAAGAAGCAGTGACAGTTTTCTTACTCTTGCTTCTTTTGTCCTTTTTTTTAATGGAATGTTAGTATTATTATGAGGTTAATTTGCAGTCCTCTAAATAGAAAGCCATAGCCTTGGTTACTAATACCTGAGGACTGTGGGCTGTCCCACCCTCCTCACTGGTACTGTGGAGTCAGATTAGCATGAAACCACTAACTGCATTCTAGAATCACTGTAGCCGTAAGTTGTGTGCTTTTTATTAATCATGCCAAACTTGGTTTAACAGATCAGAGAATTGTCATAATCAAGGTACCTGTGAAAAGTACTAGCTATTCTATGTGCTAGGCTCGTCATTTGGATCTTCTTATATCTCTAAAAATGTATCGCTTAGGTCATCCAAGTTCCTATTGGTGATACTGAATGCCTCCCATCTTAGTATGCTCAGAGAAGCTTTCAGACCAATCAATGGCTTTTTTGGTGTCTAAAACGTAAAGCAAAAAATTCCTGTTGAAACATTCCAGTCTTTTCATTTAGTATGAAACAAAATAATACGTAACCAAGCCAGTGGAATGGATTTGAGAGAACTCATGACGACTCTGTGCTGACACAAGTCTTCAGAGATAATGGAGACACGCAGACCATTTTGATGCATGGGTAGGAAAGTATCATTGTGTTAGTGTGCAGTACACAGTACGTGGTGTGTTCACGGTCAGTCCTTCTGCTGCAGGCATAGGCGATGGGTATGCAGAGTCCTGTCAGTGTTTGGAGCCACACGTGGCTCATCAGTGGTTGTATCTGAGTGAGGAGTCACACACATATGCTGCCTGCGCCACATGCCACATAATGTTCAGACCATTCAGAGGAGACTGTTTTACCTTTATTTGCTTATATGTTAATACGGTTTTTAAATTGGTAACTTTTATATAGTACGGTAACAGTATGTTAATACACACCTACATATGCACACATGCTTTGGGTCCTTCCATAATACTTTTATATTTGTAAATCAATGTTTTGGAGCAATCCCAAGTTTAAGGGAAATATTTTTGTAAATGTAGTGGTTTTGAAAATCTGAGCAATCCTTTTGCTTATACATTTTTAAAGCAGTTGTGCTTTAAAATTGTCATGCTGGTGTTTGAAATACGATACTCCTATAGTGCAGATGAGAAGCATGTAACAGTAGATATGTGGTCTCTCTCACTGTAATCCAGTTGGGCATCATGGATCGGAAGTGAGTAGGAATCCAGAGGGAATTCTCTGGGGTTGCACCAGGTTTACCTAAAGCTCGTTGCCTTTTCTGTGCTGTTTATCCATGTAGAGCACTCGAGAAAGTTCTGAAACTGCTTTGTATCTGCTTTGTACTGTTGGTGCCTTCTTGGTATTGTACCCCAAAACTCTGCATAGATTATTTAGTATAATGGTAAGTTAAAAAAAAATGTTAAAGGAAGATTTTATTAAGAATCTGAATGTTTATTCATTATATTGTTACAATTTAACATTTATTTGTGGTATTTGTGATTTGGTTAATCTGTATAAAAATTGTAAGTAGAAAGGTTTATATTTCATCTTAATTCTTTTGATGTTGTAAACGTACTTTTTGAAAGATGGATTATTTGAATGTTTATGGCACCTGACTTGTAAAAAAAAAACTACAAAAAAAAATTAGAATCATTAAATTGTGTCCCTGTGTTACCAAAATAATATAGTACTGTGCATGTATAGCTTAATTGGAATTTCATATGTGAAAATATGAAGTGGTCTAGTCCTTTATTACAATGCTTCCCAAATAAGTGTGTTTGTAATTTGACTTTGCTTATAGTAATCAGTGATAGAACCATAAGATGGTGCTCTGAAAGCCAGTGGGATTTTAGTGCTCCATCAGGTTTTCCAGATTGTTCTTCAGATGCGTGGCAATAGATGGGAGAAGTCGTCATTGCTGGGAGTGCTGACACAGTGCCCATGTGCGTCTCCTCCTCTGTCTTGCTAAACTGCAGCAGCTCTGTTGCCAGGGAAGGTGTCTTCAGCAGCCTTTTTTCAGACCAAGGTGTCATGAATGTATTAGGGACTCTTGAACATTTGGTTCATCTCAATATTGGGCATCAGGCAGTGATTTACTTGCAGGACAAAAATATTGGGAAATTTTCTGGTTTGGTGATGTAGAAAGAGCACAGGCTTTGGGCCACTCCTTGTGGTGTACATTCAGACCTTTGACCGTAAACTGGAATTTTACGTGTCGTAAAGATTTTACAAATATATTTTTAAGTTTCTAGCCCACTACTTCAAAACAAACACTAAATAGCAGATCATCCTAAATCCTTTATTTTATTTCTTTTGTATTTATTTGTTGTAAGGCAGCACTAAGATGTCTGCTAACTGAACTACCTGCTTTCTATTAATCTGAACAGAGGAAAAAACCTGTCTGAAACTTTCTGCAGGGAAATGAGCTGATCTCTCCTCAATTGATGGGTATTTGAAATGCTGATGGAATTTTCACCTTCCCTTTGAGAAATCAGCTCTGTTTAGATCCTATAGAAACCGATTATAATGGTCATTTTCCGTATTCAGCACAAGGAATTCTATTTTCTACATTAATTATGATGAGCTCCTTGTCTTAGCAGTAGTGCAGCCATTCCAGTTGGCAGTATAGACTTGCATCTTGGTTGATTCTCTGTATTTAATCAGAACCAGAGCGCTCAGGGCTGACCAGTGGCCACAGAGTGGCTCTCTGGGAAGTGCAGAAGCCAAGCCCACGTCACGGGGTTACAGACCAGGTGGAGGCAGGTGCAGACCTCCCTGAAGCCCCAAGTGTGGAAGAGGGAGAAAGGGGTTGGGTGTGACCATACTTAAGTCTTACGAGGGAAATGGGTGCGGTGGGGACAATGTTGCTGGGCTTCACAGGGCTGAGGGCCAGCAAAGGGGTGGGTCAAGGTGGGCATGGCACAGGGGCTCTTTCTCGGAGTCTGGCACCAAGGAAAGCTGAAGACAAAGGTCCTTTGAAGAAAAGGTAGAGCGGAGGAAAGGGAATGAGGTTATGCCCCATGACAGGTGTTTTTTGGGTGAAGTGGGAGAATCTTTAGAGAATAAGGATGACCCAGTGTGAGAAGAATCAGGAATGCCTGTCACTGTGAAGCCTGACTGAGGTGGTGCCTGAGAGTCTAGTGAAGTACTGCCCCGTGGGGCCTGGATGTTCTTCCCGTCAGCTGCATTGGCGGGCTTGGGCAGAGCAGAGGCCCAGGGAGGCTAGGGGAGACTGTGAGGTGACGCAACAGGAGTTCCCTCTACATGTTGGGGGTAGAGATGCTTTTCCCTTTTAATTTCTTGGTCAGGAGCAGGGAAGCCATTGCCCCATCTTTCGGTAAGATCAAAAAGTAACAAAGCCTCTTGTCAGCTGTGGAAATGGTAAGACTGGAAGGCCACATCTGTGGTGGGAAGGAGAGGCGGGGTGTGCAGTGGCCTGGGGCACGTGGGACACCGGGGCCAAAGCTTTCAGGGCCTGGTGGGAGGTCTCAGACTGGCGGTCTGGGCGCATGAGCTCCGGCTGTCTCCTTGCAGAGGGTCACCAGGCTGGCAGAAACCACCTTGGAGAGCCGGGGACCCGTGATCCATTACCACTCCCAGAAGTCTGGATGCCCCCCCCGCCCCCTTTTTTTCCCCTTCTAAACCGTGGAGAGTGCCTTTACTTCCTTCCCAAAGCGCACTCCACACTAAAGCATCCCCATTACTTGGGGAGTCAGCAGACCCTGTAGAGGCTAGAAAATGGGGGCTTTCTGTGATTGAGCCAACTGCCCAGGAGGGAGGACAGCACTGGCGCAAGGCGCACGATGGGGACGTGGGAAGCTGCTCCAAGAAGCCAGTGCTGACTTCGTGTAAAGAATCGCGTTTTTAGGGATCCCTGGGTGGCGCAGCGGTTTGGCGCCAGCCTCTGGCCCAGGGCGCGATCCTGGAGACCCGGGATCGAATCCCACGTCGGGCTCCCGGTGCATGGAGCCTGCTTCTCCCTCTGCCTATGTCTCTGCCTCTCTCTCTCTGTGTGTGTGACTATCATAAATAAATAAAAAAAAAAATTAAAAAAAAAACTTTAAAAAAAGAATCGCGTCTTTAATTGCTTTTTTGTTTTTTAAAGATTTTATTTATTCATGAGAGCCAGAGAGAGAGAGGCAGAGACCCAGGCAGAGGGAGAAGCAGGCCCCATGCGGGGAGCCCCAGGTGGGACTGGATCCCAGGACTCTCGGGTCACGACCTGGGCTGAAGGCGGCGCTAAACCGCTGAGCCCCCCCGGGGGTCCCTTTAATTGCTTTCGAAGGCCCGGCTGGGCGCACACATCCCCCACAGCAGTGATCTCCCAATTTTAAAATCCTTTCATCACCAGAGCCCTTTGACGAGTTCAGTAAAACTGGCCTGCGAATAGGCGAGGGCGGGAGCCCCGACCGGCCGCAGTGAGGCCCCGGGTGAC